TTATCTTCGGGTGTTTGATTGTGATAAACTTTGGAGGGATTTTGGTAGAGAGTTGTGTTTGGAATTTTGTTTGACGTGGGAGCAAGACAAAAGTTTATTATTATGGGTGATTGTATTTTTCTCAGTTGTGCCAAATTTGAGAATTTGAGGAGCTTTATGTTATGGGGGAATGCTACCATCCTATCGTCGGATTATTCTGTTGTGATTTGTAGTCGTAGATATACATGTAATGTAGTAATGTGTAGATAATATACGATTAAAAAATACAACGGAACTAACCATCCTGTAACGGGATGGTAACATTTTCCTGTCTTATGAATTTAGAAGCATTTCATATTATGTGGACGTGTCTTTTTATTTTTCCATTTGTGTCGATTTGACAATTTAGAAGCTTTACCTAAAAAAGAGAGTGCAAGAAGGAAAAATCTATCATACCTAATTTTGTTAACGACGTGCGAAATTGAAAGCAATGGATCAAGACGCAAAATTGATTTGTCGGGTCAATAAAGTTAATGGGCTTTAGTTGGTAAGGGACTGCTAATGTTCATATATCAGCGATTGGTTAGTGAACTGGGGCATAACTTGATGGGCTGGGCTTAGTCAGCCCAATTATAATGATGAATACTCAATTTCAGTTTTTTGTTTTCTACATTTTAATACATTTTCTTGATTAGAAAAATAATATGAAAATATTCATAAAACACACTATTCATAGGTAAATCATAATTAAACAACAATACAATTTAAAATCCAATGACAAAACAAATCACAAATAAACTATTTATAAACTATAAAATATACAAAAATTGATTGGATGTAAAAGATTTTCAAGAGAGATAGAACTACGAATTACTACATATTTATATATATTTATCAACTCATAAATCCAATCAATTATTGTTTTATTAAAAATTAATTATTCCGTTATATATACGTATATAATTAAAAAAAAAATCATTTCCTTTACTGGCACCCAAAATCTTCAATCTATCTGGACACAAAATATGACTAATGGATTATGGTCCACGCGTTTTGACTTTTCAGGTTTATAATTTTGGACCCCATGTGGCCTTTGTATAGATCGGTCGAACATTTTACACCTCATTTCTAATAAGTGGATTTTCTTGGGAAAAAAAAAAAAAAA